TTTAAAATGCTCGTGCCTTTTGAATTACTTTAAAAAGACTCCATATTACAGCTCAGGTGGATTGTTAATTTCTAAATCTGGTGAAATGAATCCACACCTTCATCTGATCTAGTTTTCTTAGTCTTCTTTTATACATTCTGCCTTCATCCATGACACTGGCCATCTATAATCACAACAGACTCTTAAAAGCAAGCCCTGATGTCTCTTGTTTTACTTTCTAAACATCTGTCTGTAGTAAAGTGGAGATCATGGTCATTCTTATTCTTAGTAAAGGTACTAAAAAAGCCTTTCCTTTTTAACTATTTCTCTCAGAGACCATTTTACCTCCTTGTTTCGGAGGGTGTAGATGAAAGGGTTTAGCATGGGAATAACAGTAGTATAGAGCATAGAGATGATGTTGCTTTTTTCAGGTGAAGATGTGGCCCAAGGCTGAGCATACATGAAAAAAACAGTCCCAAAGAACAAAATGATGGACAGCATGTGAGAAGAGCAGGTGGAGAAGGCCTTGTGTTTACTCTCAGCTGAAGGCATTTGAACAATAGTGATGATTATATAACCATAGGAGATAAAAACCACCAAGGTAGTGCCCACAATAATTGACCCACATACGGCCAGCATTACTAATTCATTGACAAATGTGTCTGAGCAGGAGGCATGCATCACTGCAGGAACATCACAGAAGAAGTGTTTTATTTCCTTGGGTCCACAAAAGGATAAGCTGAATGTAAAGCCTGTCTGGATGGCGCAGTTGATGCAACCTGACAGATAAGAGCCCACCACCATGAGAACACAAAGTCTTTTATTCATAATGATATGGTACAGCAGTGGATAGCAGATGGCAGTGAAGCGATCATAAGCCATCACAGCAAGGAAGAAGGCTTCTGTGGTACCAAAGAGAGAGAAGAAGAACATTTGAGATGCACAACCGTTGTAGGAAATTGTTCTTCTGCCCAGTGAGAATGCCAGTGCTGCTTTGGGAGTAATGACAGAGGAATAGCAGATGTCCAAGATGGACAAGTTCTCTAGGAAAAAGTACATGGGAGTGTGCAGCTTGGAGTCCATTCTAATGATGAAGATCATGCAGGCATTTCCTACCAAGGTGACAACATACATCGTTGAGAAGAGAACAGAGAGGAGGAGTTGTGATCCTGGATGAGATTTGAACCCAGCCAAAACAAACTCAATTACCTTGGTATGGTTTTCCATGTTTCCTTTCAGATGATATTCAAATAAGAAATTAGCATGCAATGGACTTCCTACTCTTTGCCTGAAGAAGCAATTAGAAGAATAAGATAAACAATAAGATACATGAAGCACAGGAAATACCAAACACAGATGGAAAACAATGTAAAATGGATTCATCGATCATATCTGAAAGTTTTTCTAATATATTCATTGAAAGACGAACCGATTACTTTTATTCCCTTCAGTCTGAAGAAATACTCTGCATGTAGGTCTTCCAACCTATTTAAGTTTACTTTACAATCGATCATGAAACAGGCATTTAATTGTAAAGGTAGGCTAAACAACCATTTCAAATGTAACTGTGCATAAAAACCTCACCCTGATATTACAGCCAATCACAAAAGACTGTTCTCCTCTCAACAAAAGAACAAATGAATATACTTCTTCAGTTGATGCTGAGCAATTAAAAAAAAACCAACAAAACAAAACTATGAGCAAATAGATGCATTTAAAAAGTGCAGATAATTGTAAAAATTATCTTAGTATTAAAAAAAGGGGCAAGACTTCCTTATGTGAGAAACTTTTGTTTTTCTTTTTAAAAGTTCTTGGAAGAAAGCCATCCTATGTTGAGATTTCTTGAATACATTTTCTCTATTAAAATGTTTAGTTCACACAGGATAGTCAAAATAATAACTGACAGATTATCTCAGGTGACTCCTTTTCAATGACAGTCATTTTGTTTTCTTAAGTTCTGTGTCATCTCACCTGGGCTTGAATATGTACGTTGGGTTGGTGCCTCTAAATAGAGTGGAAGGAAATAAACACTCCCATACTGTCAGTCTGGTGAACCATTTGATTGATATGCAATATTGTCTGATCTAATTGTCCTTATTTTAAAATATTTGCATTCTGTTTTTATGTGTAACTATCCATGATTTAAATGTAGCAGATACAAACTTAAGAATTAGCTTCAGAATAATAAAACATCTTTTCAATGGAATGGTATCCTATATCCTATTTAATTTTTTTTTTTTCTGTTGAAATAACAGTTCCTACTGCTTTAAGTAAATGGTTGTTTTTCAACAGGCTAACAGAAACCTTGGCTAAGAAGGAGGCTGCTGGAAATGCTTTCATAGCCAGTGCCAGAGGGGTACTTTAGGAAGATTTTCAGTTCACCTGAAATCTGAAGAAATATCTGCAGGAATTGTCTGTCTCTTTGTTGATGAAACAAAGTCTAGGATGACTAATCCAGGCCCATTATGTATTTGCTTCTTGTTAATGGAATTACTTTCCAGAAAAATTAACTGTATTTGTGAGACTTGTTTATTCTAAGTACTATGAAATCAA